AACCCATTTTCCCGTGAGAATGGTCTTGTTACGTGCCACTCCGATAAGCACGAATTTCCAGGTATTGCGTTCTTGCAGCGCCTTCAACTCTCTGTCCATGGCTTCGCGCCATTTTTCCCTGTGTTCCCCCCCCCAGAGTCTGCTGAATGTTGGCAGGCTCCTTAGGTGGTGGTGCTCCGTGAACAGCGGTGACGAGTCCCAGTATCTGCATGCCGCTCTGTGTGTAGCGGGGGACATTTGTGTCCTCGGGATAAGCTGCTTCATCTCCCGCTTCTAGATCCGGTAAGAAATTTGGTCCTATGCGTTCGGAAATGTTGGTGTCGACCGGGTGGGGTGTGACGTAACCGTTGTCGGCGAAGTCGAAGTAGGTTTCAGTGTTGACACTTTCGCGAGGGTTGTCCTCGTCCATGGGGATGTCTACTGAGCAATACGGAAGAGGTCCGCCTGCCTCCGAAGCTCCGTCCACATTCTGATCGTCCCAGTCAGCTTCGTCTGCTGTCAAGGCAAAAGCTCGGTTGCCACGGAAGCCGCCTGTGAGGTCGCGATTTGCTGCCAGGTTGTCCAGGTACGTTTGAAGTGTGAGTCGCTCGTAGAAGATGACATCACGTGCTGCTACTGTTTCCTTCGAGTGGATGTCGAAAATCTTCCATGCATTGTAGTGCTTTTCGATGCCCAGGTGTAGCCCCCACTGTGCGCGTTGGGAAAATCTTCCGGCTCTTGCAGTGTGCGGTCGGTACTATACCATGCACCCAAAAATTCGTAACATTTTTGTGTTGCCCAATCTTCCTGTCCACAGCAGGTGCGGTGATGCTTTGTTCGGGAGTGATGATGACGAGAGCAAATTGTGCAGCATGACAGCGTGGTCCATCGCCTCAGGCCACTGGTGGTTGGCCAGTCGCATGCCACGCAACAGTTTGCGCATGGTGTTCTGGAGAGTTGTGTTCATCCGTTCTGCCACGCCTTGCTGTTGATGGGCGTAGGGAAGCGAGATGAGTCGCTTGATGCCCCGTTCTGCGAGGTACTGCCTGAACCTTTGTGACTGATATTCCCCTCACCCATCTGACTGGAAGCTTTTCAGCTTTGCTCCTGATTCTCGTTTTGCCACAAGTAGACAGGCGACTTGGGAGGTTGAGGTGCCAGACGTATCGGGTGGCGGCGTCGATGAAAGTAATCACATAGTTATATGCTCCCTGTCCTTGTTCGTGAGTATACAGGATGTCGCTGTATACTTTCTCGAGTGGTGCGTAGGCTGGCGCGCTTGGATTGTGGTGAGAGACAAATGGTTGATGAGGTAAGTCGGCTTCGGGGCAAGTGAAACAGGTTCCTCGGACTTGTTGAAGTTCTCTGCCGTCGGGTGGAAGTAAGGAATCTTTGTCGAGTAAGGATCGTGTTATTTAACGTTGTGTTGCTTGGATGACCGAGTCTTTCGTGCCACAGTGATTCGCTCGCACGATGTCCGGGTGAGCCCCTGTACAGGTCGGAGTTGGAGTAAAAACCCGCGGTGAGGTTGGCGCTTCTGTGAACTTCACGTGGAGTGGGAGTTAATTGCTGTGCAGGAGTCGGTGGAGTGTCGTCGATGAGAACTGGTGCCGTCGAAGAGCCCGCGATTGGTGCCGTAGGTGTTGCTGCTGCTGCAGATGTTGTTTCTGTTGCTGTCGATGTTGTTTCTTCTTGCCAGATTGTTGCTAATGCCCTTGTTCTTTCTGCTTCAGGTATGGTATGTGAATACCAAAATCCTCCAGGACTGAAGTCGAGATCGAGATCGGGTGGATGTGTCCAAGAAGCGAAGTTGACGATGGCATCGCTGTCGGCTGTACCTTGGTTCGGAACGAAGTCAAGAACGAAGACGTTATTTTTCAAGATTGCCTTGCCGATGTAGAGTCCGCCCTTTCCGTGGAATAACTTGAACTCCTGAGTGGTGCTGTCTGCTTCGAGATGAATGCCCTTCGCCATCAGTTGACTGACGCTTAGTAAGTTGTAGCCGAGTCCTTCTGCAATCAAAACTTTTGACATTTGTAGAATGACGTTAGTTTCTCGAGACTGAAGTTGTACGATCCCTTGTCGTCGTGTGTGCAGGTTCTGGTTGTTGGCGACGGTGATTACAACTTCGCGCTAAAGTTGATGTTCCTGCTGAACGAAGCGACCCGAGGAGCACATGTGTTGTCCGCAGCAGCTGTCCAAGAACCAAGTGTCTTTCCCGGACGGCTCGCTCTGGGCGATGGCTGCATACGTCGGGTTGGGCTCCAGTGATTCGCAGCGAGGAGTGCTCTCGTCGAGCTGTTCTTCTGGTGAGTAGTGGGGTGGTGATCCGGTGATGCAGGAGTCTGTCGTTCTTGTCATGCAACTCACAATGTTTCTTGTTCCTTGTGCAGGTTTTGTCGTTGAAGACGTTGAAGACCGTACTTGATTGGTGGGATGCGCCTGTGTAGAAGCTACTTGACTGCTTGAAGGCCGAAGTTGACGTTCTGGCGACGTCAACTGCTGCTGATTCGGGCAGTGTGTACGAGGATGTCCTGGCGTCTTGCAGAGGTGACAGAATGGTGGAACGTATTGTTGAATCTGACGGTTGTTTTGTCGATTGTTGTTGTTGTAGCGTCGTTGAGTGTGGAACGCGAATTCTGGTGCTGACGCTTTCTTCTTGTGTCGTTCTTCGTGCAGGTCCATATCTTGTTGTTCAGCGTGAATTTCGGCGCATAGTGCTGCTTCAGAGATTTTCCCGTGAGCTCGAAGGAGTGCTCGAGTGGAGCGCCAATGAGGACCGAGGCCAGCAATGATGACTGTTACGAAGGCTTCTTAGGATATTGATCCTCCGCATCGAAGGAGTCTGTCACGTAGTCCACGAGGTTGATATACGCCATTCCCTTTTCGCCGGGTTTCATTTCCACTGTTGTTAGCTGTGCCATGAGACGGCTTTGGTTAACGCTGTCTGTTGCTTGATACAGGCTCTTCAGGTGGTCGTACGCCAGCTCGGCAGAGTTGCCATATCCTCGATAAGACCGAATGTTCTGCTGCTCGTTTGGCGTTATGTTTCGACGAAGTATCGTGTACACCATCAGCGACTGATATGTATACTGCTGCTTGTCATATTGTGTCCGATGCGTTGGGTATGGCAGGGACCCGTCGAAGAATCCAAGTATTTGCGCGCCCTCCATCATCAGCTCGAATTCGAATGACCAGGTATAGAAGTCTTTTCCGTCAAAAAGTGTTGATGTCTGCAGTTTTAATCCGTTTGCAAATTGCGATTGCACATGAAGCGCGTCCAATGTCTTCTCTTGTCTGGGTGAAGACTGTTGGTGTGGCACGAAGCTGATGGAGCCATGTTGAGGTTCGTACGGAGCAAAGGTAGGTTGCTGCTGATTTCCGCGTGCATAGGATGAACCGTCGAGGCTCATCGGAGTAGCTCTGTTGTTGTTGTCGCTGTTGTTTGATTGCGCAGGAGCTACTTGCTGGTGTTGCTCGTAGAAGGACATGAAGGAGAAGAACTTCTCCATCATGTTTGGGTCGAAGCCTGCTGCTTGATTCACGGGAGTTTCGGTCGACTCCACAGTTGGTCTTGTTACTGTGCCTTCCTTTGTCTGTAGGCCAGAGGCTGGAGGTGGAGTAGGAGTAGTGCCGAGAGATCCGTTGGAGGAGCTCCTCTCCTTCTGTGTTGCCATGTCTTGTGTTGTCGTATGAGTTTTTGAAATCGATCTTGCCTTGTTTGCTCTCATACCATGTTGGGCTGAGGAAATAGCCCTTAGGATCTTTCAAGGCTAAGATCTTGTTTGAAGTAGGGATGTTGTAGATTGCGGAAGCATAATAATAAGAATACTTGAACCACCCTGCGCTAGTATGTGAGAGCAAGATAAGTTGATAATAGCAAAGACATACAAAGATTTTATATGATTACAAAAGAATATGAAGAGTTCTACTTTAACTGTTTTCTGCTGTTGCGGTTCGATACAGTGACGACTCGGGTAACTGCTCAGTATCGAGTCAGTTATGTGTCCTTGCTGTCGTACTGTATTTTTCGTCGAGTCAAAGGTCAGTGACCTTTGACCTTCGCGTAACCTCCAGCTGTTGCGATTCTTGACTCGCGTGTTGTTTCGCTGTAGTCCGCTCTGTTCTCGTGTCGATACTTAGATTACCACTTCAGAAGCGTTAGATTACTTGTTTCCAATTCCAACAGTAGGTACGGTACTTGATAAAACTTCACACCAGTACCATAACAAATGCTACATGTAGTGCAAATATTACGGTACCTACAAACTAGCGCAGATACTTAGTGTTTAACTTGTATACAAGGTAACGTAGAGGTACTTACACACACCCGCTAAAGATCAGCAGCCAAGCAAGCAATGCAATGCAATGCAGAAACCGTAACGCTTCTGCAAGCCTTTGGCCACGGATCAGATCCTGCCACCACTCCCCACACATGGCCCACAGACAAGACCTCAGTGTGGCGAAACCATCACCTACCTTCCAATGCCTCACATACGATATCACTTCTCACAACGCTCCCCTTTCAAAGCAACGCTCTCTATCGAGACTTCCCAGCACCTCCTCCGGCACCTCACCCAGGTGACTTGCGAGTCGACTCCAAGGTACGCCGGAGGCTGTAACAGCGCCAACCCAACTTAGCGTCTCCCCCACCTCCAGCACCTCAACCACCACGCTGTGTGTGGCATGCGTCCTGTGGCAGAGCACCCACCCACACATGCGGCTGCACGCAGATCGCACGAGCCGTGACTCCTTACCGGCATTGCCTTACCCCAAGAAAGCCCATTCACGCCCACTTACTGCCCCCTACTGCCCCTTTCTACCCTCACTGAACGCTGCCCAGTGCCTCCTCCACGGCCCTGGGCAGCCCACAGATGGCGCACCATGGCCCCATCCCATCAGGCTCTGTGACCTCGCGATGGGGCACCATAATCACCCTCCCCCGCCACTGCCCTTACTGCCATTGCGGCAGGCTGCCCAGTGCCTCCTCCAGGGCCGCATACACCACCCTGTCCCGCTCCTCACTTGCAATTCCCCCCCACATGTGCCGCACCATGGCCCCCCGCGGCCCTGTGAGCTCCTGGTGCGGCACCACGATCACCCTCACCCGCCACTGCGGCCAGCGCGCCACCTTGTTGAGGCGGTCCTGCTCCCACACGTGCCCGAACAGGTGGTAGTCGCCGCTGTACTCGCTGTACCACTGCCGGAGGAACTGGGAGGGCACAGGGAGGGAAGGGAGCAAGAGCAGTGGAACGATTGTCTATGTGAGAGAGAGAGAGACAAAAGGGCAGGGCAAAGAGCAGGCAAAGAGCAGGAAAAGAGCAGGCAAAGAGCAGGCAAAGAGCAGGCAAAGAGCAGGCAAAGAGCAGGCAAAGAGCAGGCAAAGAGCAGGCAAAGAGCAGGCAAAGAGCAGGCAAAGAGCAGGCAAAGAGCAGGCAAAGAGCAGGCAAAGAGCAGGCAAAGAGCACGCAAAGAGCACGCAAAGAGCAGGCAAAGAGCAGGCAAAGAGCACGCAAAGAGCACGCAAAGAGCAGGCAAAGAGCACGCAAAGAGCACGCAAAGAGCAGGCAAAGAGCAGGCAAAGAGCAGGCAAAGAGCAGGCAAAGAGCAGGCAAAGAGCAGGCAAAGAGCAGGCAAAGAGCAGGCAAAGAGCAGGCAAAGAGCAGGCAAAGAGCAGGCAAAGAGCAGGCAAAGAGCAGGCAAAGAGCAGGCAAAGAGCAGGCAAAGAGCAGGCAAAGAGCAGGCAAAGAGCAGGCAAAGAGCAGGCAAAGAGCAGGCAAAGAGCAGGCAAAGAGCAGGCAAAGAGCAGGCAAAGAGCAGGCAAAGAGCACGCAAAGAGCAGGCAAAGAGCAGGCAAAGAGCAGGCAAAGAGCAGGCAAAGAGCAGGCAAAGAGCAGGCAAAGAGCAGGCAAAGAGCAGGCAAAGAGCAGGCAAAGAGCAGGCAAAAAGCAGGCAAAGAGCAGGCAAAGAGCAGGCAAAGAGCAGGCAAAGAGCAGGCAAAGAGCACGCAAAGAGCAGGCAAAGAGCACGCAAAGAGCAGGCAAAGAGCAGGCAAAGAGCAGGCAAAGAGCAGGCAAAGAGCAGGCAAAGAGCACGCAAAGAGCAGGCAAAGAGCAGGCAAAGAGCAGGCAAAGAGCATGCAAAGAGCAGGCAAAGAGCAGGCAAAGAGCAGGAAAAGAGCAGGCAAAGAGCAGGCAAAGAGCAGGCAAAGAGCAGGCAAAGAGCAGGCAAAGAGCAGGCAAAGAGCAGGCAAAGAGCAGGCAAAGAGCAGGCAAAGAGCAGGCAAAGAGCAGGCAAAGAGCAGGCAAAGAGCAGGCAAAGAGCAGGCAAAGAGCAGGCAAAGAGCAGGCAAAGAGCAGGCAAAGAGCAGGCAAAGAGCAGGCAAAGAGCAGGCAAAGAGCAGGCAAAGAGCACGCAAAGAGCAGGCAAAGAGCAGGCAAAGAGCAGGCAAAGAGCAGGCAAAGAGCAGGCAAAGAGCACGCAAAGAGCAGGCAAAGAGCAGGCAAAGAGCAGGCAAAGAGCACGCAAAGAGCAGGCAAAGAGCAGGCAAAGAGCAGGCAAAGAGCAGGCAAAGAGCAGGCAAAGAGCAGGCAAAGAGCAGGCAAAGAGCAGGCAAAGAGCAGGCAAAGAGCAGGCAAAGAGCAGGCAAAGAGCACGCAAAGAGCAGGCAAAGAGCAGGCAAAGAGCAGGCAAAGAGCAGGCAAAGAGCAGGCAAAGAGCAGGCAAAGAGCACGCAAAGAGCAGGCAAAGAGCAGGCAAAGAGCAGGCAAAGAGCAGGCAAAGAGCAGGCAAAGAGCACGCAAAGAGCAGGCAAAGAGCAGGCAAAGAGCAGGCAAAGAGCACGCAAAGAGCAGGCAAAGAGCAGGCAAAGAGCAGGCAAAGAGCAGGCAAAGAGCAGGCAAAGAGCAGGCAAAGAGCAGGCAAAGAGCAGGCAAAGAGCAGGCAAAGAGCAGGCAAAGAGCAGGCAAAGAGCAGGCAAAGAGCAGGCAAAGAGCAGGCAAAGAGCAGGCAAAGAGCAGGCAAAGAGCAGGCAAAGAGCAGGCAAAGAGCAGGCAAAGAGCAGGCAAAGAGCAGGCAAAGAGCAGGCAAAGAGCAGGCAAAGAGCAGGCAAAGAGCAGGCAAAGAGCAGGCAAAGAGCAGGCAAAGAGCACGCAAAGAGCACGCAAAGAGCAGGCAAAGAGCAGGCAAAGAGCAGGCAAAGAGCAGGCAAAGAGCAGGCAAAGAGCAGGCAAAGAGCAGGCAAAGAGCAGGCAAAGAGCAGGCAAAGAGCAGGCAAAGAGCAGGCAAAGAGCAGGCAAAGAGCAGGCAAAGAGCACGCAAAGATTTGAATCGCCGACACAGCTGGTGTGAAGGCTTAGAAGGACACCTGATTCTGCAACGCACTGGAAAAAGTGACCTGCTGCTGATGCGAGCTTGAAGCTGCCTGAATGGCTCCTCCAAACGGCGCCTCTCCCACAGTGAAGAATACACTAAAAAATCACCTCAACCGCACACCACCGCTCCCGCATTGATACGGCCCCTCTCTTCCCTTCAGAGCATGTTGACGCCCCATGTAATCCCCACACGTGTCAACAACCTCACCTCTACCAAACAACACCCCAAGGTCAACCATTCCCTCACTCACTTCCCACTCGTTTGGGCCATTGCCATCCCCCACAACTCCATGTTTAGGGAAGGTTTTAAGGATAATCTATGTTCAATGTGGTTGCAATGCCCCAAAATCTGGTGCAAAGGGAAGGTTTTAAGGATAATCTATATTCAATGTGGTTGCAATGCCCCGAAATCTGGTGCAAAGGGAAGGTTTTAAGGATAATCTATATTCAATGTGGTTGCAATGCCCCGAAATTTGGTGCAAAGGGAAGGTTTTAAGGATAATCTATATTCAATGTGGTTGCAATGCCCCGAAATTTGGTGCAAAGGGAAGGTTTTAAGGATAATCTATATTCAATGTGGTTGCAATGCCCCGAAATCTGGTGCAAAGGGAAGGTTTTAAGGATAATCTATGTTCAATGTGGTTGCAATGTCCCGAAACCCTCTCTCCCCCCCGCCTACACGGTTTTTTTGCCCGCACGAACGTTTTTTTACCCTGCCCGGCCCTGCGTCTTTTAAGCGTCTTGGGGACCCCTAAAACTGCGTCCTGCGTTCAAGACGCTGCGTCTGGACGCTAGCGACCAAGACGCAGGACACGTCGTTCTCCACTTAGGTACGTAGCATGCTCCCATGAAAACTCGCCCCCATCCCACTAACAGGCCACCAGACAAGTGCAAAAGCACTCACGTGACCGCATACCTGCTAGCGCGCTATTCAAGCCACACCTTCCTCCAAACGCCACGTGCGCTCATGTGCTCGCCTGCACGGCTCACTCACCCACCTTGAAGCTGTCTGGCGACCGCCGCCACAGCATCACACCGGCATTGACATTGCCAATTCCTTCTTCCTAAGCAACGTTCTGGCGCCCCCAACCCCACATCTGCTAGTCCGACCCCACGGCACTCAAGCCCACGCCGCCAAGCTCAATCACAAGCGTCCACCTTGGAACTCTCTGGCAACCGTCGCCACAGCATCATGCCGGCATCCCAGAAGAGCATCATGCCGGCATCCCAGAAGAGCATCTCCGCTTTTCCAGAAAAACTCACACCTGCTGTTCCGACCCCAAGGCACTCTCTCCCCTCCCGTACCCACCTTGAAGGTGGCGGGCGACCGGCGCCACAGCATGACGCCCGCATTGATGTAGTCCGTGTCCTTCCGGAACAGCGCCTCTGCCTCCCCAAAGAACCCCTCCTTTGAGTCGCCGTTCCGTGGTATCAGAGCCACGGGCCCTTCCGGCTGTAGCGCGGTGGCGGGCTGTAGCAGCAGCGCAGGGTCCTGTGGGAGCCACACCTGCCCCTCCAGCGAGTTGGTGAGATTGTCCCTCAGCAGCCAGTCGAAGTAGTTCTGCAGGGGGGGAGGGGTAGACACAAGAGGGATACACAGGGGGCACACACAATAGGCATAACCAGGGTTGGGGGAGGCACGAGAATGTTAATTTGATATTATGTGTCGAAACTTGTTACAAGAATCTCCAAGATAGGTAGTAGAACCGACGGAATTGGCAGGCTGGTTTTTTTACCTTCAGTAATTGTGAGGGTGACGTGGGGGTGAGGTGGGGGTGAGGTGGGAGTGAGGTGGGGGTGTGGAGGGGGTATGACAGGGAGGGATTGGAGAAAGTTGAGAAGGTAATGTCTCGTGGGACCCACACCACACCACACCACACCACACCACACCCGCCCCTCCAACGACTCTGTCACGATGGCAGCTACCAGCCATGCACGCAACGTGGTGCTTGTGGGAGGGAAGGAAGACAGCGGGGATGAGTAATAAAGAGGATCAGAGCCACAGGCCCCTCCGGCTGTAGCGCAGTGGCTGGCTGGAGCAGCACAGCAGGGTCAAGTGAGGGGAGCAGAATTCAATCTCCCGAGCCTCCTGGTTCAGCTTTTTATGAACAGGTCTGGCATGGGTGCAAGCGGGCTGTCCTGCGATTGCTCGGCGCGTGGCGCGGTGCCCTGTTGTGGATGGGCACTACTCATGCGGAACCCGCGCGGTTTGGATGGAGAAAATGCCAGATGTGATGGGCACGACGCCTGGTGTGACTGGCACGACGCCTGGTGTGATGGGCACGACGCCTGGTGTGATGGGCACGACACCAGATGTGCGAGCATATGCACATGACGCGTCTTTGAGAAGGCAGTGGAGAGAAGGGGTGCTGACGGGTGAGGATGGGTGAGGGCGGGTGAGGAGCAGTGAGGCGGGGTGGAGAGGGAAAGAAAGAATCAACCACAGCTCAGGTCTGGTGAGCGTGACCTACCCCCGACTCTTCAAGACTTTGTCGGCACCTTACTTACCTCGTGCGGTAGTGAAGTGAGACATTCTTCGCTCTAGAAAAAAGAGTCTCGAATATTTGAGCCCAGAGCAAAGAATAGGCTGTTGCAGGGTTGAAGACAGAGCGAGCAGACACTCACAGGTTGCTTGATGGATTGGATCCAGGTGGGGATGGAGAGGCGGTGGTGGTCCATGCGCATGTAGGCGTCTGAGTCGAGGAAGAAGGCCCACTCGCAGCAACACGCCAGCTGTGACTGCAGGAACGACACCTGCAGTAGGGCATGCATGCAGGAGGGGCAGAGGGTGAGGGAAAGGTGGTTGGCGCGTATGCTTGCATTGATGAGCGTGAGGAGTGAGCAACGGCACCTGCCGGCCAGGTGTGCAGGCCATGCAGGGGGGGCAGGAGATCAAGTGAGCAGGGGAGACAGGGGGGGGCAGGGGATGCAACGAATGAGGAACCGCTCTTTCCAGGCGGTCAGAGGTGATTAGATGCTCATGCTTGCATTGACGAGCATGAGGAGTTGTGCGCTGCACAGCATGCCGTGCACCGCATGCACACTCCCTGCTGGCAGCTCAATGCTGACTGCTTGCTGCTGACTGCTTGCTGCTGACTGCTTGCTACTGACTGCTTGCTGTGAGAGTGCGGAACGCACTTACGCTGGAAGCGCCACACACAGGAAGCAGCAGGAGATGCAGAGAGTACGCACGGTTTACAGCGTGCAGAAAAAGGCTGATGTGTGGGTGGTGGGGAAAGGCAGAAAGAGCAGTGCATTGTGCTCCATACATCAGGTGATTAATCCCTCACCTTGAACCACGATGGGTGTCTGTCCTGAGTGTATTTCGAACCATTCTCAGCCACCAACCGGTATCCATGGCGCCGTGCGTATAACCTGAAGGAGAGACGGATAGGATTTAAGGTGGGAGTTTGGGTTGACTTTCATTGACCGCGTTGACCTGATCAGCCACACCAGCAACGCAGCCAGTGCACATGTGCCTGTCCTGTGCAGCATGCACAGAGACCGTGGCGACATGAGTGGATAGAGCAGAGCAGAGATGTGGGACGTCAAGAAGGAACACATACCCATATGCGCCTTTCCCTATTTTCTTGTCTGATGCATGTGAGGCATCCGCATACCCCACCAGCTGCAAAGTCTCCTCTCCTCCCGAATAAGAGAAGACCCTCCTCTTCATGCTGCACCAAGTAACTGAATGCTCGCTTCATCTCTCGCCATTTCCTTCCCTGCTGTACGTGCTGTCCCAAATAGCTCGACGCATTCGCCATGTCGACCTTTGTGCATGAATCTAGATACATAACTGATCCCACCATCGACTGGTACATTTGCAGCGCCTTCTTTTCTCCTCCCCACTACTTCACATCCTCTTCCTGTTCGGTATCATTGGCTGCCATGCCGCTGAGTGGTGTAGTGATCGCCGAACCGCTGCTGCACCCTATTGCAATACTTCTTTTGGTACAGAAAGAGCTTCTTCTCTTCCACGTTCCGCTCCAGGTTCATCCCCAGAAACAGCGTTGTCCTAGGAATCTGCTTCACCTGAAAAACCTTAGCAAGTTGGTCACACACTCTCTCCACTTCAGGCGACATGATACGCCTCCCCCGATTGATGTGCTTTGAGAACGAGCTACCCTCTAGCTCCTGCGGCGAAGGGGGGATGGGATAGCAGAATGAAGCATTGACTGTATTGACTGCATTGAATGCATTGACTGCATTGACTGCATTGACTGTGTCGACCTTTCTTGAGTATGTGTGTATGCACATGATGGCCGGCAGCAACACATGCGTTCAGACTAACATGAGTTATCACCATGACACATGCGCATGTGAATGCACTGTCACACATACACATACAGTGCGACACGATCACACAAAGGCACTTACAATGATGACATTTACGCACATGCTGACACAGCAGCACATATGCACATGCTGACACTGCAGCACACACGCACATGCTGACACTGCAGCACACACGCACATGCTGACACTGCAGCACACACGCACATGCTGACACTGCAGCACACACGCACATGCTGACACTGCAGCACACACGCACATGCTGACACTGCAGCACTCACGCACATGCTGACACTGCAGCACACACGCACATGTTGACACTGCAGCACACACGCACATGTTGACACTGCAGCACGCACGCACATGTTGACACTGCAGCACACACGCACATGTTGACACTGCAGCACGCACGCACATGTTGACACTGCAGCACACACGCACATGCTGACACTGCAGCACACACGCACATGTTGACACTGCAGCACACACGCACATGTTGACACTGCAGCACACACGCACATGTTGACACTGCAGCACACACGCACATGTTGACACTGCAGCACACACGCACATGTTGACACTGCAGCACGCACGCACATGTTGACACTGCAGCACACACGCACATGTTGACACTGCAGCACACACGCACATGTTGACACTGCAGCACACACGCACATGTTGACACTGCAGCACACACGCACATGTTGACACTGCAGCACACACGCACATGTTGACACTGCAGCACGCACGCACATGTTGACACTGCAGCACGCACGCACATGTTGACACTGCAGCACACACGCACATGCTGACACTGCAGCACACACGCACATGCTGACACTGCAGCACACACGCACATGTTGACACTGCAGCACACACGCACATGTTGACACTGCAGCACGCACGCACATGTTGACACTGCAGCACACACGCACATGTTGACACTGCAGCACACACGCACATGTTGACACTGCAGCACGCACGCACATGTTGACACTGCAGCACACACGCACATGTTGACACTGCAGCACACACGCACATGTTGACACTGCAGCACACACGCACATGTTGACACTGCAGCACACACGCACATGTTGACACTGCAGCACACACGCACATGTTGACACTGCAGCACGCACGCACATGTTGACACTGCAGCACACACGCACATGTTGACACTGCAGCACACACGCACATGTTGACACTGCAGCACGCACGCACATGTTGACACTGCAGCACACACGCACATGTTGACACTGCAGCACACACGCACATGTTGACACTGCAGCACACACGCACATGTTGACACTGCAGCACACACGCACATGTTGACACTGCAGCACACACGCACATGTTGACACTGCAGCACACACGCACATGTTGACACTGCAGCACGCACGCACATGTTGACACTGCAGCACACACGCACATGCTGACACTGCAGCACACACGCACATGCTGACACTGCAGCACACACGCACATGTTGACACTGCAGCACACACGCACATGTTGACACTGCAGCACGCACGCACATGTTGACACTGCAGCACACACGCACATGTTGACACTGCAGCACACACGCACATGTTGACACTGCAGCACGCACGCACATGTTGACACTGCAGCACACACGCACATGTTGACACTGCAGCACACACGCACATGTTGACACTGCAGCACACACGCACATGTTGACACTGCAGCACACACGCACATGTTGACACTGCAGCACACACGCACATGTTGACACTGCAGCACGCACGCACATGTTGACACTGCAGCACGCACGCACATGTTGACACTGCAGCACGCACGCACATGTTGACACTGCAGCACGCACGCACATGTTGACACTGCAGCACGCACGCACATGTTGACACTGCAGCACACACGCACATGTTGACACTGCAGCACACACGCACATGTTGACACTGCAGCACGCACGCACATGTTGACACTGCAGCACGCACGCACATGTCATGTTGACACTGCAGCACGCACGCACATGTTGACACTGCAGCACGCACGCACATGTTGACACTGCAGCACGCACGCACATGTTGACACTGCAGCACGCACGCACATGTTGACACTGCAGCACGCACGCACATGTTGACACTGCAGCACGCACGCACATGTTGACACTGCAGCACGCACGCACATGTTGACACTGCAGCACGCACGCACATGTTGACACTGCAGCACGCACGCACATGTTGACACTGCAGCACGCACGCACATGTTGACACTGCAGCACGCACGCACATGTTGACACTGCAGCACGCACGCACATGTTGACACTGCAGCACGCACGCACATGTTGACACTGCAGCACGCACGCACATGTTGACACTGCAGCACGCACGCACATGTTGACACTGCAGCACGCACGCACATGTTGACACTGCAGCACGCACGCACATGTTGACACTGCAGCACGCACGCACATGTTGACACTGCAGCACGCACGCACATGTTGACACTGCAGCACGCACGCACATGTTGACACTGCAGCACGCACGCACATGTTGACACTGCAGCACGCACGCACATGTTGACACTGCAGCACGCACGCACATGTTGACACTGCAGCACGCACGCACATGTTGACACTGCAGCACGCACGCACATGTTGACACTGCAGCACGCACGCACATGTTGACACTGCAGCACGCACGCACATGTTGACACTGCAGCACGCACGCACATGTTGACACTGCAGCACGCACGCACATGTTGACACTGCAGCACGCACGCACATGTTGACACTGCAGCACGCACGCACATGTTGACACTGCAGCACGCACGCACATGTTGACACTGCAGCACGCACGCACATGTTGACACTGCAGCACGCACGCACATGTTGACACTGCAGCACGCACGCACATGTTGACACTGCAGCACGCACGCACATGTTGACACTGCAGCACGCACGCACATGTTGACACTGCAGCACGCACGCACATGTTGACACTGCAGCACGCACGCACATGTTGACACTGCAGCACGCACGCACATGTTGACACTGCAGCACGCACGCACATGTTGACACTGCAGCACGCACGCACATGTTGACACTGCAGCACGCACGCACATGTTGACACTGCAGCACACACGCACATGCTGACACTGCAGCACACACGCACATGTTGACACTGCAGCACGCACGCACATGTTGACACTGCAGCACACACGCACATGTTGACACTGCAGCACACACGCACATGTTGACACTGCAGCACACACGCACATGTTGACACTGCAGCACACACGCACATGTTGACACTGCAGCACACACGCACATGTTGACACTGCAGCACACACGCACATGTTGACACTGCAGCACACACGCACATGTTGACACTGCAGCACACACGCACATGTTGACACTGCAGCACTCACGCACATGCTGACACTGCAGCACACACGCACATGTTGACACTGCAGCACACACGCACATGTTGACACTGCAGCACGCACGCACATGTTGACACTGCAGCACACACGCACATGTTGACACTGCAGCACACACGCACATGTTGACACTGCAGCACGCACGCACATGTTGACACTGCAGCACGCACGCACATGTTGACACTGCAGCACACACGCACATGTTGACACTGCAGCACGCACGCACATGTTGACACTGCAGCACACACGCACATGTTGACACTGCAGCACGCACGCACATGTTGACACTGCAGCACACACGCACATGCTGACACTGCAGCACGCACGCACATGTTGACACTGCAGCACACACGCACATGTTGACACTGCAGCACACACGCACATGTTGACACTGCAGCACGCACGCACATGTTGACACTGCAGCACACACGCACATGTTGACACTGCAGCACACACGCACATGTTGACACTGCAGCACGCACGCACATGTTGACACTGCAGCACGCACGCACATGTTGACACTGCAGCACACACGCACATGTTGACACTGCAGCACGCACGCACATGTTGACACTGCAGCACGCACGCACATGTTGACACTGCAGCACACACGCACATGCTGACACTGCAGCACACACGCACATGTTGACACTGCAGCACGCACGCACATGTTGACACTGCAGCACACACGCACATGTTGACACTGCAGCACACACGCACATGTTGACACTGCAGCACGCACGCACATGTTGACACTGCAGCACACACGCACATGTTGACACTGCAGCACACACGCACATGTTGACACTGCAGCACACACGCACATGTTGACACTGCAGCACGCACGCACATGTTGACACTGCAGCACACACGCACATGTTGACACTGCAGCACACACGCACATGTTGACACTGCAGCACACACGCACATGTTGACACTGCAGTGACACTGCAGCACACACGCACATGTTGACACTGCAGCACACACGCACATGTTGACACTGCAGCACACACGCACATGTTGACACTGCAGCACACACGCACATGTTGACACTGCAGCACACACGCACATGTTGACACTGCAGTGACACTGCAGCACACACGCACATGTTGACACTGCAGCACACACGCACATGTTGACACTGCAGCACACACGCACATGTTGACACTGCAGCACACACGCACATGTTGACACTGCAGCACACACGCACATGTTGACACTGCAGCACACACGCACATGTTGACACTGCAGCACACACGCACATGTTGACACTGCAGCACACACGCACATGTTGACACTGCAGCACACACGCACATGTTGACACTGCAGCACACACGCACATGTTGACACTGCAGCACACACGCACATGTTGACACTGCAGCACGCACGCACATGTTGACACTGCAGCACACACGCACATGTTGACACTGCAGCACGCACGCACATGTTGACACTGCAGCACACACGCACATGTTGACACTGCAGCACACACGCACATGTTGACACTGCAGCACACACGCACATGTTGACACTGCAGCACACACGCACATGTTGACACTGCAGCACACACGCACATGTTGACACTGCAGCACACACGCACATCTTGACACTGCAGCACGCACGCACATGTTGACACTGCAGCACACACGCACTTGTTGACACTGCAGCACACACGCACATGTTGACACTGCAGCACACACGCACATGTTGACACTGCAGCACACACGCACATGTTGACACTGCAGCACACACGCACATGTTGACACTGCAGCACACACGCACATGTTGACACTGCAGCACACACGCACATGTTGACACTGCAGCACACACGCACATGTTGACACTGCAGCACACACGCACATGTTGACACTGCAGCACACACGCACATGTTGACACTGCAGCACACACGCACATGTTGACACTGCAGCACACACGCACATGTTGACACTGCAGCACACACGCACATGTTGACACTGCAGCACACACGCACATGTTGACACTGCAGCACACACGCACATGTTGACACTGCAGCACACACGCACATGTTGACACTGCAGCACACACGCACATGTTGACACTGCAGCACACACGCACATGTTGACACTGCAGCACACACGCACATGTTGACACTGCAGCACACACGCACATGTTGACACTGCAGCACACACGCACATGTTGACACTGCAGCACACACGCACATGTTGACACTGCAGCACACACGCACATGTTGACACTGCAGCACACACGCACATGTTGACACTGCAGCACACACGCACATGTTGACACTGCAGCACACACGCACATGTTGACACTGCAGCACACACGCACATGTTGACACTGCAGCACACACGCACATGTTGACACTGCAGCACACACGCACATGTTGACACTGCAGCACACACGCACATGTTGACACTGCAGCACACACGCACATGTTGACACTGCAGCACACACGCACATGTTGACACTGCAGCACACACGCACATGTTGACACTGCAGCACACACGCACATGTTGACACTGCAGCACACACGCACATGTTGACACTGCAGCACACACGCACATGTTGACACTGCAGCACACACGCACATGTTGACACTGCAGCACACACGCACATGTTGACACTGCAGCACACACGCACATGTTGACACTGCAGCACACACGCACATGTTGACACTGCAGCACACACGCACATGTTGACACTGCAGCACACACGCACATGTTGACACTGCAGCACACACGCACATGTTGACACTGCAGCACACACGCACATGTTGACACTGCAGCACACACGCACATGTTGACACTGCAGCACTCACGCACATGTTGACACTGCAGCACACACGCACATGTTGACACTGCAGCACACACGCACATGTTGACACTGCAGCACACACGCACATGTTGACACTGCAGCACACACGCACATGTTGACACTGCAGCACACACGCACATGTTGACACTGCAGCACACACGCACATGTTGACACTGCAGCACGCACGCACATGTTGACACTGCAGCACTCACGCACATGTTGACACTGCAGCACTCACGCACATGTTGACACTGCAGCACTCACGCACATGTTGACACTGCAGCACTCACGCACATGTTGACACTGCAGCACTCACGCACATGTTGACACTGCAGCACACACGCACATGTTGACACTGCAGCACTCACGCACATGTTGACACTGCAGCACTCACGCACATGTTGACACTGCAGCACACACGCACATGTTGACACTGCAGCACACACGCACATGTTGACACTGCAGCACACACGCACATGTTGACACTGCAGCACACACGCACATGTTGACACTGCAGCACACACGCACATGTTGACACTGCAGCACTCACGCACATGTTGACACTGCAGCACACACGCACATGTTGACACTGCAGCACACACGCACATGTTGACACTGCAGCACACACGCACATGTTGACACTGCAGCACACACGCACATGTTGACACTGCAGCACACACGCACATGTTGACACTGCAGCACACACGCACATGTTGACACTGCAGCACACACGCACATGTTGACACTGCAGCACACACGCACATGTTGACACTGCAGCACTCACGCACATGTTGACACTGCAGCACACACGCACATGTTGACACTGCAGCACACACGCACATGTTGACACTGCAGCACACACGCACATGTTGACACTGCAGCACTCACGCACATGTTGACACTGCAGCACACACGCACATGTTGACACTGCAGCACACACGCACATGTTGACACTGCAGCACTCACGCACATGTTGACACTGCAGCACGCACGCACATGTTGACACTGCAGCACTCACGCACATGTTGACACTGCAGCACGCACGCACATGTTGACACTGCAGCACTCACGCACATGTTGACACTGCAGCACTCACGCACATGTTGACACTGCAGCACTCACGCACATGTTGACACTGCAGCACTCACGCACATGTTGACACTGCAGCACTCACGCACATGTTGACACTGCAGCACTCACGCACATGTTGACACTGCAGCACTCACGCACATGTTGACACTGCAGCACTCACGCACATGTTGACACTGCAGCACTCACGCACATGTTGACACTGCAGCACTCACGCACATGTTGACACTGCAGCACTCACGCACATGTTGACACTGCAGCACTCACGCACATGTTGACACTGCAGCACTCACGCACATGTTGACACTGCAGCACTCACGCACATGTTGACACTGCAGCACTCACGCACATGTTGACACTGCAGCACTCACGCACATGTTGACACTGCAGCACACACGCACATGTTGACACTGCAGCACACACGCACATGTTGACACTGCAGCACTCACGCACATGTTGACACTGCAGCACTCACGCACATGTTGACACTGCAGCACTCACGCACATGTTGACACTGCAGCACTCACGCACATGTTGACACTGCAGCACTCACGCACATGTTGACACTGCAGCACTCACGCACATGTTGACACTGCAGCACTCACGCACATGTTGACACTGCAGCACTCACGCACATGTTGACACTGCAGCACACACGCACATGTTGACACTGCAGCACTCACGCACATGTTGACACTGCAGCACTCACGCACATGTTGACACTGCAGCACACACGCACATGTTGACACTGCAGCACACACGCACATGTTGACACTGCAGCACACACGCACATGTTGACACTGCAGCACACACGCACATGTTGACACTGCAGCACACACGCACATGTTGACACTGCAGCACACACGCACATGTTGACACTGCAGCACGCACGCACATGTTGACACTGCAGCACGCACGCACATGTTGACACTGCAGCACACACGCACATGTTGACACTGCAGCACACACGCACATGTTGACACTGCAGCACGCACGCACATGTTGACACTGCAGCACACACGCACATGTTGACACTGCAGCACACACGCACATGTTGACACTGCAGCACACACGCACATGTTGACACTGCAGCACACACGCACATGTTGACACTGCAGCACGCACGCACATGTTGACACTGCAGCACGCACGCACATGTTGACACTGCAGCACACACGCACATGTTGACACTGCAGCACGCACGCACATGTTGACACTGCAGCACGCACGCACATGTTGACACTGCAGCACACACGCACATGTTGACACTGCAGCACACACGCACATGTTGACACTGCAGCACGCACGCACATGTTGACACTGCAGCACGCACGCACATGTTGACACTGCAGCACGCACGCACATGTTGACACTGCAGCACGCACGCACATGTTGACACTGCAGCACGCACGCACATGTTGACACTGCAGCACGCACGCACATGTTGACACTGCAGCACGCACGCACATGTTGACACTGCAGCACGCACGCACATGTTGACACTGCAGCACGCACGCACATGTTGACACTGCAGCACGCACGCACATGTTGACACTGCAGCACACACGCACATGTTGACACTGCAGCACACACGCACATGTTGACACTGCAGCACGCACGCACATGTTGACACTGCAGCACGCACGCACATGTTGACACTGCAGCACGCACGCACATGTTGACACTGCAGCACGCACGCACATGTTGACACTGCAGCACGCACGCACATGTTGACACTGCAGCACGCACGCACATGTTGACACTGCAGCACGCACGCACATGTTGACACTGCAGCACGCACGCACATGTTGACACTGCAGCACGCACGCACATGTTGACACTGCAGCACGCACGCACATGTTGACACTGCAGCACGCACGCACATGTTGACACTGCAGCACGCACGCACATGTTGACACTGCAGCACGCACGCACATGTTGACACTGCAGCACGCACGCACATGTTGACACTGCAGCACGCACGCACATGTTGACACTGCAGCACACACGCACATGTTGACACTGCAGCACGCACGCACATGTTGACACTGCAGCACGCACGCACATGTTGACACTGCAGCACGCACGCACATGTTGACACTGCAGCACGCACGCACATGTTGACACTGCAGCACGCACGCACATGTTGACACTGCAGCACGCACGCACATGTTGACACTGCAGCACGCACGCACATGTTGACACTGCAGCACGCACGCACATGTTGACACTGCAGCACGCACGCACATGTTGACACTGCAGCACGCACGCACATGTTGACACTGCAAGCACGCACGCACATGTTGACACTGCAGCACGCACGCACATGTTGACACTGCAGCACGCACGCACATGTTGACACTGCAGCACGCACGCACATGTTGACACTGCAGCACGCACGCACATGTTGACACTGCAGCACGCACGCACATGTTGACACTGCAGCACGCACGCACATGTTGACACTGCAGCACGCACGCACATGTTGACACTGCAGCACGCACGCACATGTTGACACTGCAGCACGCACGCACATGTTGACACTGCAGCACGCACGCACATGTTGACACTGCAGCACGCACGCACATGTTGACACTGCAGCACGCACGCACATGTTGACACTGCAGCACGCACGCACATGTTGACACTGCAGCACGCACGCACATGTTGACACTGCAGCACGCACGCACATGTTGACACTGCAGCACGCACGCACATGTTGACACTGCAGCACGCACGCACATGTTGACACTGCAGCACGCACGCACATGTTGACACTGCAGCACGCACGCACATGTTGACACTGCAGCACGCACGCACATGTTGACACTGCAGCACGCACGCACATGTTGACACTGCAGCACGCACGCACATGTTGACACTGCAGCACGCACGCACATGTTGACACTGCAGCACGCACGCACATGTTGACACTGCAGCACGCACGCACATGTTGACACTGCAGCACGCACGCACATGTTGACACTGCAGCACGCACGCACATGTTGACACTGCAGCACGCACGCACATGTTGACACTGCAGCACGCACGCACATGTTGACACTGCAGCACGCACGCACATGTTGACACTGCAGCACGCACGCACATGTTGACACTGCAGCACGCACGCACATGTTGACACTGCAGCACGCACGCACATGTTGACACTGCAGCACGCACGCACATGTTGACACTGCAGCACGCACGCACATGTTGACACTGCAGCACGCACGCACATGTTGACACTGCAGCACGCACGCACATGTTGACACTGCAGCACGCACGCACATGTTGACACTGCAGCACGCACGCACATGTTGACACTGCAGCACGCACGCACATGTTGACACTGCAGCACGCACGCACATGTTGACACTGCAGCACGCACGCACATGTTGACACTGCAGCACGCACGCACATGTTGACACTGCAGCACGCACGCACATGTTGACACTGCAGCACGCACGCACATGTTGACACTGCAGCACGCACGCACATGTTGACACTGCAGCACGCACGCACATGTTGACACTGCAGCACGCACGCACATGTTGACACTGCAGCACGCACGCACATGTTGACACTGCAGCACGCACGCACATGTTGACACTGCAGCACGCACGCACATGTTGACACTGCAGCACGCACGCACATGTTGACACTGCAGCACGCACGCACATGTTGACACTGCAGCACGCACGCACATGTTGACACTGCAGCACGCACGCACATGTTGACACTGCAGCACGCACGCACATGTTGACACTGCAGCACGCACGCACATGTTGACACTGCAGCACGCACGCACATGTTGACACTGCAGCACGCACGCACATGTTGACACTGCAGCACGCACGCACATGTTGACACTGCAGCACGCACGCACATGTTGACACTGCAGCACGCACGCACATGTTGACACTGCAGCACGCACGCACATGTTGACACTGCAGCACGCACGCACATGTTGACACTGCAGCACGCACGCACATGTTGACACTGCAGCACGCACGCACATGTTGACACTGCAGCACGCACGCACATGTTGACACTGCAGCACGCACGCACATGTTGACACTGCAGCACGCACGCACATGTTGACACTGCAGCACGCACGCACATGTTGACACTGCAGCACGCACGCACATGTTGACACTGCAGCACGCACGCACATGTTGACACTGCAGCACGCACGCACATGTTGACACTGCAGCACGCACGCACATGTTGACACTGCAGCACGCACGCACATGTTGACACTGCAGCACGCACGCACATGTTGACACTGCAGCACGCACGCACATGTTGACACTGCAGCACGCACGCACATGTTGACACTGCAGCACGCACGCACATGTTGACACTGCAGCACGCACGCACATGTTGACACTGCAGCACGCACGCACATGTTGACACTGCAGCACGCACGCACATGTTGACACTGCAGCACGCACGCACATGTTGACACTGCAGCACGCACGCACATGTTGACACTGCAGCACGCACGCACATGTTGACACTGCAGCACGCACGCACATGTTGACACTGCAGCACGCACGCACATGTTGACACTGCAGCACGCACGCACATGTTGACACTGCAGCACGCACGCACATGTTGACACTGCAGCACGCACGCACATGTTGACACTGCAGCACGCACGCACATGTTGACACTGCAGCACGCACGCACATGTTGACACTGCAGCACGCACGCACATGTTGACACTGCAGCACGCACGCACATGTTGACACTGCAGCACGCACGCACATGTTGACACTGCAGCACGCACGCACATGTTGACACTGCAGCACGCACGCACATGTTGACACTGCAGCACGCACGGCACATGTTGACACTGCAGCACGCACGCACATGTTGACACTGCAGCACGCACGCACATGTTGACACTGCAGCACGCACGCACATGTTGACACTGCAGCACGCACGCACATGTTGACACTGCAGCACGCACGCACATGTTGACACTGCAGCACGCACGCACATGTTGACACTGCAGCACGCACGCACATGTTGACACTGCAGCACGCACGCACATGTTGACACTGCAGCACGCACGCACATGTTGACACTGCAGCACGCACGCACATGTTGACACTGCAGCACGCACGCACATGTTGACACTGCAGCACGCACGCACATGTTGACACTGCAGCACGCACGCACATGTTGACACTGCAGCACGCACGCACATGTTGACACTGCAGCACGCACGCACATGTTGACACTGCAGCACGCACGCACATGTTGACACTGCAGCACGCACGCACATGTTGACACTGCAGCACGCACGCACATGTTGACACTGCAGCACGCACGCACATGTTGACACTGCAGCACGCACGCACATGTTGACACTGCAGCACGCACGCACATGTTGACACTGCAGGCACGCACGCACATGTTGACACTGCAGCACGCACGCACATGTTGACACTGCAGCACGCACGCACATGTTGACACTGCAGCACGCACGCACATGTTGACACTGCAGCACGCACGCACATGTTGACACTGCAGCACGCACGCACATGTTGACACTGCAGCACGCACGCACATGTTGACACTGCAGCACGCACGCACATGTTGACACTGCAGCACGCACGCACATGTTGACACTGCAGCACGCACGCACATGTTGACACTGCAGCACGCACGCACATGTTGACACTGCAGCACGCACGCACATGTTGACACTGCAGCACGCACGCACATGTTGACACTGCAGCACGCACGCACATGTTGACACTGCAGCACGCACGCACATGTTGACACTGCAGCACGCACGCACATGTTGACACTGCAGCACGCACGCACATGTTGACACTGCAGCACGCACGCACATGTTGACACTGCAGCACGCACGCACATGTTGACACTGCAGCACGCACGCACATGTTGACACTGCAGCACGCACGCACATGTTGACACTGCAGCACGCACGCACATGTTGACACTGCAGCACGCACGCACATGTTGACACTGCAGCACGCACGCACATGTTGACACTGCAGCACGCACGCACATGTTGACACTGCAGCACGCACGCACATGTTGACACTGCAGCACGCACGCACATGTTGACACTGCAGCACGCACGCACATGTTGACACTGCAGCACGCACGCACATGTTGACACTGCAGCACGCACGCACATGTTGACACTGCAGCACGCACGCACATGTTGACACTGCAGCACGCACGCACATGTTGACACTGCAGCACGCACGCACATGTTGACACTGCAGCACGCACGCACATGTTGACACTGCAGCACGCACGCACATGTTGACACTGCAGCACGCACGCACATGTTGACACTGCAGCACGCACGCACATGTTGACACTGCAGCACGCACGCACATGTTGACACTGCAGCACGCACGCACATGTTGACACTGCAGCACGCACGCACATGTTGACACTGCAGCACGCACGCACATGTTGACACTGCAGCACGCACGCACATGTTGACACTGCAGCACGCACGCACATGTTGACACTGCAGCACGCACGCACATGTTGACACTGCAGCACGCACGCACATGTTGACACTGCAGCACGCACGCACATGTTGACACTGCAGCACGCACGCACATGTTGACACTGCAGCACGCACGCACATGTTGACACTGCAGCACGCACGCACATGTTGACACTGCAGCACGCACGCACATGTTGACACTGCAGCACGCACGCACATGTTGACACTGCAGCACGCACGCACATGTTGACACTGCAGCACGCACGCACATGTTGACACTGCAGCACGCACGCACATGTTGACACTGCAGCACGCACGCACATGTTGACACTGCAGCACGCACGCACATGTTGACACTGCAGCACGCACGCACATGTTGACACTGCAGCACGCACGCACATGTTGACACTGCAGCACGCACGCACATGTTGACACTGCAGCACGCACGCACATGTTGACACTGCAGCACGCACGCACATGTTGACACTGCAGCACGCACGCACATGTTGACACTGCAGCACGCACGCACATGTTGACACTGCAGCACGCACGCACATGTTGACACTGCAGCACGCACGCACATGTTGACACTGCAGCACGCACGCACATGTTGACACTGCAGCACGCACGCACATGTTGACACTGCAGCACGCACGCACATGTTGACACTGCAGCACGCACGCACATGTTGACACTGCAGCACGCACGCACATGTTGACACTGCAGCACGCACGCACATGTTGACACTGCAGCACGCACGCACATGTTGACACTGCAGCACGCACGCACATGTTGACACTGCAGCACGCACGCACATGTTGACACTGCAGCACGCACGCACATGTTGACACTGCAGCACGCACGCACATGTTGACACTGCAGCACGCACGCACATGTTGACACTGCAGCACGCACGCACATGTTGACACTGCAGCACGCACGCACATGTTGACACTGCAGCACGCACGCACATGTTGACACTGCAGCACGCACGCACATGTTGACACTGCAGCACGCACGCACATGTTGACACTGCAGCACGCACGCACATGTTGACACTGCAGCACGCACGCACATGTTGACACTGCAGCACGCACGCACATGTTGACACTGCAGCACGCACGCACATGTTGACACTGCAGCACGCACGCACATGTTGACACTGCAGCACGCACGCACATGTTGACACTGCAGCACGCACGCACATGTTGACACTGCAGCACGCACGCACATGTTGACACTGCAGCACGCACGCACATGTTGACGGCCAGGGCGACCCAGATGGGGAATTTCCACATGTTCTCGTGCCCCTCCGCATCCACCACCTTGGGCAATCCCGAGTAGAACCGCCGCCACACCTCCGGCATCGCCTCTCCGCCCCTCCCTCCCCCCTCATCCTTCCCCTCATCCTTCCCCTCATCCTTCCCCTCATCCTTCCCCTCATCCTCTTCCTTCCCCTCATTCTTCTCTTCCCCATTCCCCTCATTGTTACCCTCTTCTTTCTCCTGGTTCGTCCCCTCCGCCTTCCCCTCATCCTCGCCCTCCCCCTTTCCCCCCTCCGCCTTCTTAACCTCCCCGTTCAGGCCCCCCTCCCCCTCTCCCATGCCATCCTCTTCTCCTCCCGTCAGCCGCCTCCCCCTCCAGCCTCCATGCAACCGTCCCTTCCCCTCTCCCGCTCCTTCCTTCAAAATTCTCCCCTTCCCATCCCTCACCCCCCTCCCCACCTCTCCCTCATCCACCTCCCCCTCATCCCGTCCACTGATCCCCCCCTTCAGCCCTTCCTGTCCCCCATCTTCCACCCCAGCACGTACGCCCTCTTTTCCTAATTCCGCTCCCCCTTTCCTTTCTCCGCCTAACCCCTCTCCCCCTCCCTCTTCTCCCCCACTCCCCCCTCCCCCCACCTCCTCCGCATCCCCCCCCAGCTCCCTCAGCAGCCGCGCTACAGCCACTTCCACGGCCGCCACACCTTCAGGGCTGTAGCGCGAGTCGAGAGTCAGAATGCACCCTGGCCGTGGGGGGGCCTCCTCCCACGCCACTGCCGGCAGGCTCTGCAGCGGGAAGAAGTTCCAAAGCTCCAGGCTGTCCACCCAAGCCTGAGGCTCGGGTGGGTGAGGGGAAGAATTCAGTTAGCAAGAGAATGCAGAATGCAGAATGCAGACTGGAACAAGCGAGTCGAGAGTCAGAATTCACAGAACAGACTGGAACAAGCGAGTCGAGAGTCAGAATGCACAGAACAGACTGGAACAAGCGAGTCGAGAGTCAGAATGCACCCTGGCCGTGGGGGGCCCTCCTCCCACTCCACTGCTGGCAGCCCCTCCAGTGGGAAGAAATTCCAAACCTGTAGGCTTTCCAGCCAAGCCTGAGGCTCGGAACGAACCAAGGATGGCGAGGGGAGGTGGGTGTGGGAACGATATCAGAGACTTGGGGATTTAGAGAACAGATCGGACGGATGCGCTCACCTCGTTGGCGACGAGCAGGAAGCGCGCGACGACGAGCGCCAGAAGCCCCGCCGCGCAGCGGACGATCCACGGCCGCCATCTCACCGCACTCGCCGCCGCGCCTTTCTCGCATTCAGGCGCCTCGTAACCCGCTTTCCCGCCGTGCAACGGCAAAGTGTCCGCCGCGTGTCGTGCGGCTTTCGAACCTGCCTTATGATCGCGCGCGCCATGCACAGTCCCCAATCTCTTCCGCCAGCTCAGCAGAACTCGCGGGAATATCCCGATCATGTTCTTCTGTGTGTGATTCGGTTACCAACGTGAGCCCGAGCCCCTGATTCGAATGACGCCGAGTCCTCTGAGGCTGATGACAGCATGAGAGCTTGGCTCTCCCTGAAACCAGCTGTCCCAGCCAAGCTTCCAAATTCTTAATAAGGACACAGCCTCAATTTCAAATACAACCCAGTGAAAATTTGAGTGTAAACTATGAGTGCAACAGAAAGAGCAAACGTACATTACAGACAATCTGAGAAGCCATTCTTTAAGCAAAAAAGCGGTAACATCACATGCAAGTATTCTTTGCGCACCATGATTGTTGCCATGGTTGGTGTAATGACTTCACAATTCATACCTGTAGACTTTTTTAGCGGGGATGTCATGAAGGCCTCGCGTTAGTTGGGTTCGGCCCATACTTTCGACCCGAACATTTTATGAGTCGGCCCCTGCACCAATTTGTCAGAGGTGCACTGGAGATCCCCCATTGATCATAAGGAAAGGTTACAGATGTTGAGCTGAAAAAGACCCTTAGGATCTTTCAAGGCTAAGATAGGGGTTGAAGTAGGAATGTTGTAATTACGGACGCGTTTTAATATCAAAGTTTACTGAACCACCTTGTACTAGTAAGTGAGAACAAGATAAGTTGATAATAGCAAAGAGATACAAGCCTTTTATATAATTACAAAGAAATATGAAAAGTTATACTTTTAACTGTTTTTGCTGTTGCGGTTCGATACAGTGCCGACTCGGGAAACTGCTCAGTAACGAGTCAGTTATGTGTCCTTGCTATCGCATTGTACTTTTCGTCAAGTCAAAGGTCAGCGACCTTTGACCTTCGCGTAACCTCCAGCGGTTGCTTTTGTTGACTCATGTGTTTCTTCGCTGTAGTCCGCTCCGTTTCGTGTCGGCACTTCGATACTTCAGAAGCGTTTAAGTTACTTGTTTCTAACAACAGACACGTTGGCCTGGGGGGTTACTGTCAGAATGTTATTCTCTAGCCTGTAGTGGGGTGCTCTATAGCGAGTACAACCCATCTAGGGTTTGCTATATGTATCCTCATTGCTGCTAGTGAAAATCCTCTCTTTTGCCTAAACTTCTCTTGCCTAGCTAGGACTTACCTAGCTATGGCTCCTAACTCTACACACTATCTTCACATGGAATCAGAGCACATACGCTCCTGGCCTGTGGGCCCTCCTACTGCTTCCGCTGCCCTACGCTGTGTCGCGCGCCCCGTGGTGCGCGGCCTCTTATTTTTCATCCCGCCGCGCGCTCGGGGCGCGCGGCGGTTTCTGCCCGCCGTGCGCCCCGAGGCGCGCGGCGGTTTACTGCTGTGGGGGAGCCAGCGCGCGCCCCGCCCGTCCGTCGCGGAGCCCTGGGGAGCACGCGCGGCCCCCCGCCCTGCCCGTCGCGGCGCGCTGGGGAGCCCGCGAGCCCCCCGTCCGTCCGTCGCGACGCCCTCGGGAGCCCGCGAGCGCCCCGCCCGTCGGTCGCGACGCACTGGGGAGCCAGCGGGCGCCCTGCGTGGTCGTCGCGACGTCCTGGGGAGGCCGCGCGCGCCCCGTCAGCTCGTCGCGGCGCCCTCGGGAGGCCGCGCGCGCCCCGCCAGGCCGTCGCGGCGCCCTGGGGAGCCGCGCGCGCGTCCCCCCCGCCCGTCCGTCGCGGCGCCCAGGGGAGCAGCGCGCGCCACGCCCCTTCCCTCGCCCCACCCGTCCGTTCTGGCGCCCTAGAGGCGCGCGCCTTCCCCCCCCTCTCCGTCCCCCGCGCTCCTGCCCCTATCCCACCCGTTTTAGGGTTTGGGGGTGAGGAGTGTGGGGGTGGTGGTTGTGGGGGTGTCCGTTGTGCGCGCCGTGCCCTTCTCCTCCTCCTCCTTTGTCTCCCACTGCTGCAGCTGTCGCTGAGGGGGGTGGATGAGTGGGAGACTGGGGTTTAGGGTTTTAGGGGGGTGCGTGGGAGTGGAGCTAGGGTTTGAGCAGTGGGTGTGTGTCGAGGGTGTGGGGCAGTTGGAGGAGGTTGTGTGGAGGTACCTGTCGTGTCGCTTGCAGCGCCTGTAGTCCGTCGCCCTTGCTTCGGTAGCCAGTGAGCCTGCTGCACCAGTCGCCAGTGGGTCCGTTGCTCCTGCCGCTCTTCTATAGCCGCCGAGCCAGTTACTCCAGTAGTCCGTCGCCCTTGCTTCGGTAGCCTCTGAGTCAGCCGCTCCTGTGCCCGTGCCTCTGCAGCTTCAGTCGTTGCCTCCCATCTTCTCTACCTCCACAGCTCCTCCTCCTCCTCACTTGCCCGCTGTGATTAGCTCTAGCTTTGCTTACCTTTGTGAACTCCTGCTCTATACCTGCTTGCTCATTGTACTGATTACACCCCACTTTGGCTATGGGGGTGTGTCAGAATGTTATTCTCTAGCCTGTAGTGGGGTGCTCTATAGCGAGAACAACCCATCTAGGGTTTGCTATATGTATCCTCATTGCTGCTAGTGAAAATCCTCTCTTTTGCCTAAACTTCTCTTGCCTAGCTAGGACTTACCTAGCTATGGCTCCTAACTCTACACACTATCTTTACAGTTACAGGCAGGGCTTCAGATTCGTTTTGGGCTACCCTTAGTAATCAGGGTTCTAGGTATAGTCAACCCTGATGTGCAGGGTAAAAAAAAAATTTCCCTGACAAATGCAGGGTAAAAAAACAGTTAGTCTGTTTGGGCAGGGTATTTTTAAAAATATACTATATTAAAAACGCCAAAGTACAGAAGTTCAATAGTTAGTGGTTCAGCTAGTTCGATAACACATAAGGTTTGAAAGATCTCAGGTTCGAATTTCGCTGTTGGGATCATTTTGCAGGGGTCTGTATAGTGTTTCGTTTCGATACGGAGCACTCGGTACCAGTATAGCTGGGATTGTACAATGTACAGTCAGCGTAATGTGTTCGTAATGCTGTTTTTCAAAGGGTATTGAAAACCTTACACTTTCTGGCCTAGGGTAAAAAATCCACTACCCTGCTTGTGAAAGGGTAACTGAAAAAAAGCGGCCGCCAGTCAGTGCAAAAAGGGTATTTTACCCTGATAACGAGAGGCCTGGTTACAGGCGCACTCACCCGCTACACAAATGCATCTTATCTCAGTGGTTAGTGGCTAAGATTCTGACATGGTATCTGAGCGAAGGTCTCGAGTTTGAATCCCGATGTGCACCTTGGGCATCCCAGTGCGGGGGGGGTGTCAGAGGTGCACTGGACATCCCCGATTGATCATAGGGAAGGGTTACATGCACGTTTGCCTGAGGGGTTACGGGCGCACTCGCTCGTTGGACAAATAAGCCTTTTTATCTCAGTGGTTAGTGGCCGGGATTCTGACACAATTGCCACCTTTCCGATCCTCGCTTGCCCCGAGGTCCTCGCGTAGCTATGAATTCCTCATGTTTGCTCGTCATTTTCATTGTATCGACAACTTCCGTAATCAATGTCTCATTATTAAATGATTATGCGCACTCTGTTAGTGGAGAAATTCGTCATGCAGCGAGCAACGGGAGAGATTTTTGGTTGGGATGGCGCGGGCGAAGCCCGACGAATGGTTAAGGGCAAAAACAACCGAGATTCGTTGAGCAACGAACAAACATATTTGCATGATATACCTATCTACAGGGCGGGTATTGCAAATGCAGTACAAATCGTCAAATTATATTTATATTTGTGTTGGATTGTAGGGTATAGAGAACTAAATTATATAGGGTACAACATTGAGTTGCCTACTTGTATCTCATGGTTGCTAGTTCAAACTCATTTCCTCTTCCCAACTTTAAGATGGTATATTGATAGGTACTTCCTAGGAACCTAGCCCGCCATCCCCCCTAGCCCCGTCTCCCTCGCCATCCATCCTAAGCCAACCCGTCTGCCGCCACGCCCCTACTTAGCATGCACGCTTTATTGGTAGCACACGCTTAGCTAGCAGCACGTGCACAGCCAGCCATGCGTGATCACTACAAGCACGCGCACACAACTTGTGCCCATGCGACGCGCGCAGCAGCCGAGCGTGTCAGAAGAATGAACGAGAATGAATGAACTATGAAACAGTTGGGTACAAGTACTAACCCTAATTGGGTTGTACCCCTTATGGGCTACCCCACTATAGCCTACACAAATGCAAGCACTAAAATGTTCTAACACACCCCCATAGGCAAAGTGGGGGAAAACAAGTGGTCACAAGACCAGTCAAGAAAAGCAAAGCAAGCTCGGGGTGGATCACAAAGTCACCACACAGTCCGAGCACAAGCAAAGGGCCACAAGGCCAGTTCACATGCAGAGTTATATAAAAGAGAACAAACAATACAGAGATCATACCCTAGCAAGTGTAAGCATGCATGTATATATATATATCACAGTACAAGCAGAGTCAAGCAGTGAGCAAGTGAGGCAAAGTAGGCACAAGGCCTAACACAGTAGAGAAGCGCTGATGATCACCAGGCGGAAGTGCCTTGGTGAATATATCAGCAGTGTTGGCCTTAGTGGCCACGTATGCAAGACGAAGCTGGCCACGCTGCTGCAACTCTCGAGCAAGGAAGTAGCACAGAGCAATGTGCTTCATTCGGTGCTCCAGTCTGTGCTCCTGACACAAGGCAATCATGGCCTTGTTGTCTACGTACAGAACTCGAGGCGAACGAAGCTGCTCTCCCAAGTCAATCATCAGCAGGTAGGTGAGCCAGCGTAGCTCCTGTGCAGCCATGGCCCCTGCGTAGATCCCAGCCTCACAACTGGAGCTGAGAACCGAAGACGAGCAGGTAGACCACTAGTAAACAGAGCCCGAACCAAGGCTGAAGGTGTAACCCTGTGACGACCGCTGCGTAGCTGAGTCGTCAACCCACGAAGCGTCTGCGTGACCAGTGAGGACAACTGGACCCTGTCCTCAGCACGAGCCCCATGCCCGACGTACTGCACAAGTAACGCAGTACCCTCTTTGCAGCATCCCATTGCACCTTTCGGTGCCTACCCGGAGCCACGTAGCGAGCCAGGAGGCTGAGAGGGTATGCGAGGTCACGTCG